GGAGGTGTTGCAACCTAGAAGACGCAAATTTAACTAACAAGTTAAAAGTACATGAGTCAAAAATTAACAAGCAATAATATTCCAAGTAGAGGTTCTAGTAGTGGCACAAATCAAGTTACAGAGGGAAGGTGGTTCTTACAATAAAAGGCCTATAGACTAGCACTTTGTCTATTATAGTGTACAGGTTAGGAACCACAAGATGTAGAGGCTCAGCTATGTCATTTATGCTTCTTAAGTCCTGGACCAAATTCCATCTACCACTGGGCTGTTTTACAACTCGGAAGTTCACATGCAAGGTAGAGGTGAAGTAAGGAACTGCTTATGAGGTTTTCCGTCCATTCCAACAACTGAGAAATAGTGAGAAGAGTTGGGACCTCAGAAGGCTTTTAGGACCAATTAGTAGGCTCTGTGTCCAGGAGAAAATGAATATACTTACCAGTAATGTTAATGCTCACCCACGGCTCTTCTGGGAGGATCTAAATCGTTGAAGCGTCCTCCTTTGTTTCCAGCTGGGAACTGGGGCCTGTCAGTCCTGTCTGCCACGAGGACCTGATGTGAGCCACCTTGGCCAAGTGTCCTTCAGAGCCACACTTAAAGCAAGTGAGTGGGAGCTTCCTCTCTACTCCCTTGCCTGTCTGTGACACTGTCTACTGAAGTGGCCCAGCTTTCCACAGTGGAAGCAATTCTGACCTCCTTTATTACCTTTGGGTGGCTCTGTATACGAGTAAGACTTCCTTTTTCTGACACAGACTCTAAACTGGCAGCAATAGCTGCCCCAATAATTTTGGCCATTCTCTGGTCTTTTCTCTCCCCTCTAGATCCCAGTTGTTAAAAGAGGGAAAAATTTAAGCAAATGTATAACAAATAATTTTGAACATTATAATCTTTTAAGCTTACGGCTAGAAGTATTAACAATATCATCATTTCCAATCCAGAGATATATGTTCCAGTGCAGTACCTATTTTCCATAAATGGTTTTGGTAAGAGGAATGTTGTAAATGTGGATACATTTCCACTATTCCTCCTCCATGCCACGATATAGTGTTATTAGCTTGAGCAGTTATAAATCCATTGCCATCCTTACTCTAACTTAATTCTTTTTTTTTTTCATTTAAATTTGTTATTAATTTCAGTGAAAATTTACAGAGGCTTTGGATTTCCATTCATTCATTGTTGTAGGACTTAAAAGTTTGAATACAAATTTAATATACCAAGCTGAGTAATAGAGACTACACTAGCCACTCCCTCTTATAATTTAACTTTGTTCCCAAAAACTATATTCTGGCTATAGGACCTTCTTAGATTGTTCACCCTCCAGAATTTTTTTTACATAAATTTTCAAATCATCTACTGTGATGTTAACAGTCACTTTATCCTCTTTCTATCCAATAATTGGCATTATTAGAAGAAAAGTTATTCTGCAAAGCAGTATGTATATTTTTGTTATTAATGAGTGCTACAGATATGACCATTTCAGATTCTAATAGTTCTACTTTCTACATCATTATTTTTACTATAGAAAAGAACAGATGCAGATTTTGAAGCAGATTCTCATATTCATATTAGTACTAGTAATACTAAGACTAGCAACACCAGTACAATAATTTGGGCCCGTATTTAATAAGTTGGGCATTCAAAAGACATCTCTTCTGTTCATTACCCTTTATTGTTGGTTTTTTATTCAATCATTCATACACATTTTGTTTTAAATGTTAATTACAATTGATGAATGTCATTTATTACATCTCATCAAATCCTCTCCGTCCCTTGCCTTCCCCTTCACTCGGCCTATTCATACACAAATCTCCACTCCCCTCACCCTCTTTTCCTGTCTCTGTCAATCCTCAACCATGGTTTATCTGTGTGTAAACCTTCCCTTAACCATTTTTTTTTCAGTCAATATTCCATATCATTAATTATAATACATACAATGAGTGATCATCCACTCATTCCACATTGTCCTTTCCTTCACCTATTCCAATAAAATGTTCATTATCTGTCCATTAGTTTCCTATTCTCCCTATCCCCTATCAGCCTGTAACCATACTAGAGTGATTCTTTCTGTGTGTAAACCTCTCTCTAGATTTCTGTTGGTTTGGGTTTCTATCATAATAGTTGTATAGGATCAGTCCTTTTGTGACTTATTTCATTCAGTACAATATCCTCTGGAACAAATCCATATTTATTGACTGGAAGAGATCCATATTTATTCTCATTCCAAAAAAGATGACCCAACAGAATGTGGAAATTATCAACCAGTATCACTAATTCCACACACAAGCAAAATTATGCCGAAGATTATCCAAAAATTACTTGAATCGAACATTGACAGAGAACTACCAGAAATACAAGCCGCTTTAGTGACAGAGAACTACCAGAAATACAAGCCGGTTTAGAAGACGCTGTGGGACTAGACACTATCACCAATGTCAGATGGATTTTGGATGAAGCAGAGTATCAAAGGAGTGTTTTTCTATGTTTCATTAACTATACAAAAGCATTTGATTGTATAAATGACATCAAATTGTGGCTAACGTTGAGGAGAATGGGAATACCAGAACACTTGATTGTGCTCATGCAAAACCTATACTTGGACCAGGAAGTAGTCCTCAGAATGGAGCAAGGTAACACTGCATGGTTCAAGATCAAGAAGGGAGTGTGTCAGGAAAAAGTCCTATCTCCATGCCTTTTCAATCTGTATGCAGAATAGATCATTTGGGAGGCTGGATTTTATGAGGAAGAATATGCTACCAAGATTGGAGGAAGATTCATCAACAGTCTACATTGTGCAAATGACACCTTTCTTCACAAAACTGAGGAGGACCTGACACAGTTGCCTCAGAAGGTCAAGGACTGTAGTCTTCAATATGGATATAAGGTCAACATCAAGAAAACTTAAGAGTCTTACTATTGGGCCAATTGGCAGCACCATGACAGATGGAGAAGAGATTGAAGATTGTTAACAATCGCAGCTTGCTTGGATCCCCCACCAATACTCTTGGCATCAGTGGTCAGGAAATCAAAAGAAAAATTGCATTAGGGACCCTTCACTCTGCTGCAAGAGACCAAGGCATGTGTGGTATGGCTGGCCCAGGAGCGTCTTCTAGCTACTGCTTCCGAGCATCTGCTAAAGGCACACTCACAACCTGGCCCGTGACAAAACCACTGCCTGCCAGGTTGAGGGGCCACTGTTTTAGGCCACAATCCCACCCAGAGCACTAGACTGCTGCCCCCACCACCTAGATACCCCACTGCCCTACCACCTGGAGACCGCCCAGCTGCCACCCCTGCTGTCCAGTGCCAGGTGCACCAGTAGCACAGGTAATTTGGATGAAGCACCACTGTCTAGCTAGAGCACCAGGGATTTCTTAAGCTCAAGCAAATGAGGCCCAGTGGAGGCGTGGTTCCAGGAGGGCAACAGTCATCTCTGGGTTGACTGTTATTCCCAAGAGGAGAGCACCTATATGTAGGTCTTAAACAAAACATTACCATACCCTCAGTCATTATATAGTTACAACAACCTAACATCTACTAAGAAAAGACTCACATAATGTCAAGAAAGCTGAGTTAGTTCTCTCAACATTCTTGTGAAATTCTACAAATCATACTGGTTTTTCATTCAATCATTCATACACATTTAGTTTTATAACATAAATTGTAATTTATTGATGTAATTAATGATACAGGCCATGGTCTTTGCTATCACTTGTTATGCATCAGAGAGTTGGACAGTAACTAAAGAGGATAGAAGGGGAATTGATGCCTTTGAGCTGTGGTGCTGGAGAAGAGTATTGAGGGTACCATGGACTGCTAGGAAAACAGATTCATCCTGGAAAGGGTTAAACCTCGTGACTCCCTGGAGGCAAGGATTCTGAGGCTTCATCTAACATACTTTGGATATGTTGTAAGGAGGGACCAGTCCTTGGAGAGGGACATCATGTGTGGTAGGGTGGAGGGACAGCGCAGGAGGGGAAGGCCCTAGATGAGATGGACTGATTCAGTGACTGGGGTAATCGGGATGGGTGTATCAGAGACAATGCGATTGGCACAGGGTAGAGCAGAGCTCAGGCCTGTTGTACATAGGGTTGCTATGAGTCGCAAGCGACTCGACGGCACATAACAACAACAACAACAACATTGATGTAATGATCAATAGCAATGTCTAATCAGCCCCTTATTGATATTCCTTTTCCTTTTACCTAATTTATAGACCATCATCTCTATGAGTTGCAATAGAGAGTTGATTCTTAGCCTCATTCCTTCTATTCAGGAAGTAGGGTTGTCCACTGAGGATCCCCACCTGTCTTAAAGTTGGAGCTGATTTTTCCTTGGGAAGCCTCATAGTCACTGATTCTCTGGTGAGCTACCAAGGAGCTTGCTGAGCATGATGTATCTTCTCCTCGCTAAGAATCCTTTCAAGTTGTAGGAGAAGAATATATAGCAAAAACAAGTATATTACTACCTATGTTGGTCTATCCATTTCCTAAACAACATGCCTCTGAAAACTCTATGAACTTTGATAAATGACAGTTCGTCAATAGAAAGGCTTCAGGCCTTTTGTTCATAGGGTCGCTATGAGTCGTGCTCAACTTGACAACAATCAACAATAACAAACAACAACATAGGAACTTGTTTTGTGTTGATTTGCTTGTTGCCAGCTATTGTTACATAGCCTTATGATCATGACAGCAATGATTCTGTTGCTATGGAATGGTAGTATATACAAAACCATAAAGCTTGATTAATTTGATAGTAAGATATGTGAGAGCCTTTAATATCCTAGTACTTTCAGGACAGTCCCAAAGGGAGAACAGAAATTCCTTAGTGATTTGAGCACCAAAGCCTTTTTTTGGTTTTGGGTTTTTTCATGCTACTAGCCCACTCTTGATCCAAAATCAAATGTACTCCCAGAGTACTTAGTGTTAGATATCCATCTTAACAATCACATGTAAATGTAGCTTTGCATAATTTGGTGGTTAACGCTGTCTTTTCCCCCACAGAACATTGACATCACCAATTTCAGCAGCAGCTGGAGTGATGGTTTAGCCTTTTGTGCCCTCCTTCATACCTACCTGCCAGCCCATATCCCGTACCAGGAACTGAAGAGTCAGGAGAAAGTAAGTTCTCTGCCCGGTCACATTTGGTTATCCAACAGAAAATGAAACGGGCTTCAAAATTATGTTGCTGTTCTCCAGTGTGGGTGGGTTCTATATATCTAAAAAGTAGAATATTAGTGCAAGGCTCAGATAACTAATGAACAACTTGGAATCCCAGTCTGACTATCCATCCCTTGCTAATGAGAAAATGCAGTGGATTCCACCTTACCATGACAACAGAGAAATTCCTGTCACCCACTTTCCAGATCTTCATGGCGTCAGGAGACCTTGGTCTTTGTTTGTCAAGTTTTATTCCAGAAAACCAACAAACAGCACAAAGTAGAGTTCTTTAATCAAATAATCTTCATGTTATATCATTTTTTTAAAGATTCAAAGCACCTAATGGTTCATTATCTTTTGTGAAAAACAATGTATTCAAACTTTGTAAATAAATCAGAATAAAATTTTTTTCTTTTTTTTATTTTATTTTTTTAAATAATTTTAATGAACATTTACAGATAATTTGGATTTCCATTCATTCATTGCTACACTTCTCTCCCTGCCCAGCCCTCTCCCCCCGCCCCCCAGTTTGCTCCTCTCTTTCAAAAGTAAAAGAAAGACTCCCTGCCTGGTACACAATCCCCCCGCACCCATCCCACCGCCCCAAGTACATTCCACTATGCAACCTTAATTGTGGACTCTTGTGTTAACCATAATACCCTATCATACATTGCTTTTAAATTATTCACTCCCTCATCTGTTTCAGTGCAGTGTATACCATTTATCCAGTTTTTCTCAGTCTTACCCCAACCCTGATATCAGTCCCATTTTACAGCAGTGGCACCATGCAATATTTGTCCTTTTGCGACTGAGATATTTCACTCAGCATAATGTCCTCCAGGCTCACCCATTTTGAGTAATATTGAATGAGTTTCTTGTTTTTCAATGCAGCATAGTAATCCATTGTGTGAATATACCACAGCTTCTCTATCCATTCATTTGTTGATGGGCACCTGGGTTGTTTCCAACTCCTTGCTATTGTGAACAGAGCTTCGATAAACATGGTTGTGTATATATCTGCTTGGATGTCAGTTATGGTCTCTTTGGGATATATTCCCAGTAGTGGAATTGCTGGGTCAAATGGTATCTCTATTTGCAACTTTTTGAGAAAGCGCCATACTGCTTTCCACAGGGGTTGCACCATTTTACACTCCCACCAACAGTGAATAAGGGTTCCAGTTTCTCCACAACCTTGCCAGCATTAGTTGCTTAGAATAAAATTTAAAAAAAAAAAACAAAAAACTTTTCAAAAGTCCTACATGAAAGAACCCTGTATGACTTCCACAGGACTTTTTTTAAATATAATCATGTATAGAAAGGGTTGGCAAACTTTTCAGTTTAAGGGCAAAATAGTTGAATTTGTGGGTTAGTTGGTTTCTATCTCCTTTTTGCCAGCAGTGAATAGTATGTAAACAAATGATTCTTATTTTTAAAAAGCTACTGCGAGCTACATTTAGCCTACAGACTGAACTTTAACAACTCCTTACCTACAGCATCTTAAAAAGTTATATTTCACAAAATGAACTTTAGGAAATGCCATCATGGACCCTGCATTACATGTACTTACCAAGTATTGTTTGCCAAACATTGTGCAGAGTAATAAAGACTACAGTAAACCACATAGGCCTAGTGTTTGCCTCCTTGAACTAAACAGTTGATAAGTTCTTGAATAAACGTATAACAAGTAAAACATTAAATTCTTAATTGTAACAGAGCTATGAGAGACAGAGTGCTATGAGATGAATAATATGAACTTTGAAATGTGGTGTTGGTGAAGAGTATTGAGTATACTATGGGCTGCCAGAACTGTTTGCAACCAGCATGCTCCTTGGATACAAGAATGAAGGAGACCTCATCTCACATGTTTTGGACATGTGTCAAGATTGACAAGCCTTGGAGAGGACATCATGCTTGGAAAGGGCCAATGAAGAAGAAGATCCTCAGTGAGACGTGGTAACTGCAACAAAGGGCTCACGCAGAAAAAATTACAAGATGTGCAAGGTTAGGCACAGTTTGAATCTGTTGTCCATAGGGTCGAAATGAGTAAGACTCAGCTCAGCAGACAGCACCTAACAATTTCAGTAACAGCAAGCTCGTGTGTGGTAGAACAAAGCATAGCCCAGTCTTTCACTATCTTCATGTGGGCTGTGAGTTGTTCCTTTGTGATTCATAGGACGTTCACAGACTGATTCTTCAAAGGGGATTGGCAGGCTTTCCTGATAGTCTAGAATGACCTCTGAAATCCATTTGACACCATAATAGTACACAGAGCTCCACTGACAGATAAGTGCAGAGGTGCACTCACTGGCAATTGGACCCAGGACTCCTAAAGAGTTGCACCACTCAGCCACAGTAGGGCGTTGGCTTGGTAGCGTTAACAACTCAACAACAATTTAGATGAGTAAGACTGAGGAGGTCTTTCTTAAGGAGATGGTATTCGTTCTAAATGCAGAGTTTTGGGGAAGCTTTCCAGGAAGATAACAATTCAGAAGAAAACACTCTGGCATAAGATGGGAATGTCTTGTGCCACCTGAGATCTTGGACCCTCATGCAGCCTCAAAGGCTCCAGGAGTTTTCCTGCTGTCACCAAATATGTCCTCAGCCTAATGGGACAGACTTCCACCAGCTAGTTCCCCTGTCAGCTGCACCTCCTCCAGTCCTCAGCCTAGCTGGTTTCACTTATGTGACACCCACAGAATTACTCTAATAAGTCAGTCACAACCTCCAGCAGGAAACAGGTTCACCCTACCCTCTTTAACTGCAATACCAGCTTCCTGCAGCCTCCACCAGATCATTCTGGTCCCAGGTGCGGTGCCCCTATGGCCCTGCCTGGCATGCAGGGTCCCTGTCCCCAGGCTGTGTATGTATGTGCCGAATATGCTTCTGTTGGTCTCATCTCATCTGACCATTGACAGGTGTTGTATAATAGCCATCCTCAGATCCTTAGGAGTAGAAACCTGCCTGGCCCATGGGAGAAGAGGCTGTGGACCAAACAGTGCCCTCAAGGAAGTGGGAGAAGGGCTGTGTGGCAGGACTGTAGTGTGCAGGGGAAGAGTGGCCTGTGATGATGCCAGAGGTGCGGGAAAGGGCCAGGTTCCCCTGAGCTTCCACAGATGGTGAGGTCAGGTAGTTGGTACTTTGCTGTAAGCCACTAGAGAAGCTTAAAAAATGAGGGGCACAGTGTGTAGTTTTACAAGATATCTCTGTCTTTTTTTTGTGAGAAATTAACTGAAAAGGGAACAGGAGTGAACGAGGAACTACCAGTCAGAGGCCAGGGCAGGAGTCAAGTAAAATTGAAGCTCAGTCTCCTTGGCTCCATTTGTTAACTGGAACCTAGGAACCTTGGAATCTAGCAGTGGAGATAGAAAGACATGGATCTATTTGAAATATGCTTTGGAAATGGACTCAACTGGATTCAGTGGCATAGTGGTTGTAAGGCGGGGGAAAGGAAAGAGTCACATGATACCCTGCTTGGTAGCTCCATTTTTTTGACGGAGAAGAAATAAAGCCAAAACAGCAAAAGCAAAACTACTAACAACTATGAGATATCATCTCACCCCATTCAGAATAGCAAAATTTAACAGAACAGCAAGCAACAAATGCTGGCGAGGTTGTGGAGAAACTGGAACCCTTACTCACTGTTGGTGGGAGTGTAAAATGGTGCAACCATTGTGGAAAGTGGTGTGGCGCTTTTGCAAATAGAGATACTATTTGACCCAGCAATTCCACTACTGGGAATATACCCTAAAGAGACCATAACTGACATCCAAGCAGATAGATGCATACCCATGTTCATCGTGGCTTTGTTCACAGTAGCTAGGAGTTGGAAACAACCTAAGTGCCCATCAACAAACAAATGGATAGAGAAGTTGGGGTATATTCACACAATGGAATACTACGCTGCATTGAAAAACAAGGAACTCATACAATATTAATCCAAATGGGTGACCCTGGAGGACATTATGCTGAGTAAAATATCTCAGTCACAAAAGGACAAAAACTGCATGGTGCCACTGTTGTAGAAAGTGACTGACATCAGTGTTGGGGCAAGACTGAGAAAAACTGGATACATTATGTATACTTAATTAAAACAGATGAGGGAGAGAACTGTTTAAAAGTGATATATGATAGCATATTATGATCATCACAGAAATCCAGAGTTAAGGTTGCATAGCAGAGTGCATTGCAGTCGGTGCGGAGGGGTGGACTGCATACCAACGAAGAAGTTTATCTTTTGCTTTTCAAGGAGGGGAGGGAACTGGGGGGAGGGTGTAAAGAAAAAAAGTGCAACAATGAATGAATGGAAATCCAAAATCTCTGTAAATTTTAATTAAAATTAATAAAATTAAATTTTAAAAAAAGCAAAACTAACTACTGTAGAATCTGTCCTGACTACTACCAACCCTGTAGGGAAGGTGGAATGGCCCGGAGAGTTTCCAAGACCATAAATCTTTACAGAGGGAGCTCTTGTAGCCTGGTGGTATGGAGTTGTGCTGACAGCCTGAGGGCAGGTGATTCCAATCCACCAGCTGCTCTGAGGGAGAATGATAGGCCGTCTCCTCCTCTGTGACTTGTCTCTAGAAACCTGCTGGAGGGTCAGCTGTTAGTCAGTTCTGACTCGATGGCATACACCCACCTTCACAGATCTTTACAGGAGCCGCCTATCACATCTCTGTCCCATCTCGTGACTGGGAACTGCTGACCTACTGGGTTACACCTGCTTGATGTCACCAGTATCCCTCAGAAAGTTCTGTTTTGAATCCTATTAAATCTGTAGTATCTGTGAAATAAGCAAGTAGAGCTTGCAGACAGGCAATTGGATATCAAATCTGGCTTTCAGTAAGGTGATCACAGTTGGAAATACAGTTTGAGGGGTCTAGGTCAGAATGTCTTAATAAAATTTTCTAAGATGATGCAAATCCTATCTGTGCTGTCCAATATGATACCAGTTATTGAGCATG